CTAGAACAACCATATTCGGAATCTCGGTGACTAATTGAGACAATGATTTTAAAGTTGAAATTGTGGTAACAATATTCTCAGCTATGCGACGTCGCACCAAACTGTCCAACTCCCATGTTGTAATGGCAGCGCTTGGCGGGGATGCAAACTCAACGTTTATCGACGGATCCTAATAAAAAGGGTGTGTGGTATGTCGTAAATTGTGAGTGGGTTGCGTTGATACGAGAAAACGTAAAAATTCTTACTAATTTCGTTCCGCCTTCAAGCCAAAAATCGTGGACACCAAGTAATCCTCGTAGTTGCATAATGAAAATGGACATTGCAGATTTCAATTCGCCAAAAGTAAAAACGTGAGTTCCGGTTGATCGGTTTGGATTATTTATGATTACCCCTCCCCATCTTGGTATTAGAAAGGCGTTATTCTTCAAAATATTTCCTGGAGTTAGAAAGTAAGTTTAATGAGAATTATCGGTGGCTTAAATATGGATTTCAAACGTACCTTTCAAATCTTGGATGTACAGAGGACTCTGCTCTGACGAGGGAACGTATAGAATAAAATTGAGCGTTGGATAAGATGTCACTGCTGAGGCTGCACAAACATCGAAATTTGAAATTTAATAAATATTACTCCATGATTATAGTAATGATACAATGATAATGTCAATATTAGTAATACCGAGATTCCATTCTGCTGCATTGATAAAATGAGGCAGCAGATCGGGGGTCAAATAAAAATGTTCGTTATCACCATCTTTATTCTTCCGAGGCTCAAATGTAAACCTGGCGTAATGTTGAATCTGCGACTCAACAGTCACTTCCGAAATTATTGAAATCTCGTCAACAAACGGCTTCAAGTATATATCGACAGCCCGTTCAATATCCCAATCTACAAATAAACTTGATGGATCTCCATTCATGAGGCTGAACGTTATTTGATACATTGGAGAATATTTCATTGTTCTCATGCTGTCGGCTTCTACCTGTTTTTCGACAAATTATCATGGAGGTATAAATCACGGATACATTTTTTTTGATTATACCAAATTACAAAATGTTTTACCTTTGACTCGGCCGAAGGTTCTAATACGAATTTCTTGATGACGGCCTGCTCTGGTAAAAACAAACTTAAAATGATGTTCAAAATGGTCTTCTCAACGAAATCTACATTATCGTTCACCTTAGTGTAAGCATTCGTTATGAAATATCCAAAGAAACCACACGAACAGTGCTTACCAATACTCCAATTTTTAACCTCTACAACTGCCTGTCTTTTGTTTCCCACAAAAACTCTTGTATTCGAATTGTTTCCGGGTAATACATAGAAAGCATATTGTCCGTTCTTACTCACAAATTCTAAAATTTCGGGATCAAACCCTACCAATCGTAATTATAAATAGTAACGTATGGTCTTCATATTTCTTTCTAATGAATGATTATGCCGTAACGTTTTTGTTCTTGTAATCCTTACTTTCTTCAAGAGCATCTCTCCATCTATTCCATTTTACCATTTCACATTTAACCGGAAATCGAATCGACTGTATGGAATCGACAGAGTCATATTCTAACGTGATCAGGTTTTCTAGACGTGCAGAAAGATCTTCGAAACTATTCGTATCTTCTTCCACACTGGCAACATATAAGGTGAAATGTGTTGGAAACTCTAAGCCAAGTGCCTACAGTTTCGCGAAAATTTTACTTCGTAAGAGAGAATGGTTTGAAGAATCCGAGTTCGAGACAAACCTCCCGATTAGACCATTCCTCTATTTCTGCAAAAGGTAACTGAGCACGATAAACCTCTGTCGTTTTCCACCATAAGGGAATGCCGATTAATATTACAACACAAAATGACAATATAATTAATCGGCGAGTTTGGACAATGCTATTTTGACTTTTGTCCATGCTAAATCTTTACATTTCTCGAATTTTTGTAAAATTGTGTGTACGTAATCACTCGCGTGAAAATTATACTCAATCAAATCGTGCCACGATTCTAGTTTATTTTTTATTGAGATATTAAATAAACTATTCACATGACAACTAACTTAAAAATATGAGTAGAGTTGCCATTTCCAGAATCTTTTCCATGTCTTCCTTGAATCTTGCTATCCATATTATATCATCTATAAAGGTTATGACTACATGTCTTGATTTTAGCTTCTTGGCAGTTTGTTCTTTAAAGTCTGGATTTCAGATAGTTGGTATTTTATATTTTCTATCAATGTTATTTTGAATTTTACAGAATAAAGGATTATAAAAAATTCTTTACATTAATAAAAAAATGGTTTCTTCTTACTTTTATGGATTCTATAAGGTCATCTTCAAATATAACTTTGAATTCTCTATTTTTGAAAAGGCTTATTATAATCTTGATAAAATCTTTAAATATCTTAATTCTTTTCATGATTTTTATTAACATTTTCAAATTGATAGTATTATAAGTTTTGATTATATCTTGAAAAAGTATTTACAACTTCTTTTTGTTTTCTTGTCTATTCTTATAAATGTTATTAAGAATTAAATAAGTTCTATAATATTTTTTTTTTAATAGTTTTACATAATTAAATCCTTCAAGAATATTATTGATCTTATAAATATTTTCTATTCTATTAATTAAAATTTTGATAAAATACTTTTTTATAATCTTCAATAATACAATAGATCTTGTATTCAATATTTTACATTTTTATAATTTTAACTTGACTATTAAATACATATAATTGTGCTTTTAGGATATAGATATGATTTTTTATTTCAATAAATTATTAAACATTTTTCATAAATATTTTTTTCTTACTTGACTTAATTTCTTTGGTATCTTATAACTAATTTAAAATTTTCATGAGACCTTATTATTAAAAAATATTTTAAGTATATCATTTAATTCTTCTTGAAAGATTGATTCAAGAAAACCCTTGTATTAATTGTCTTAAATATAGTTTCTGAAATTATATTCTTTTTTTCAATCTTTTATCAAATTATTAAAATTAAATTTTTTTTTCTTAAAGATCTTTAATAATATTATATTATTTTTTTTTGATTTCATATTTCTTTATTATTGTATATTTATTATTACCTTATCTAATTTTAACTTTGTCTAATATTATCTTGCTTCTTTTTTTATTCATCAAAGAGCTTATAATTCTCCTTTGATTATTCTTCAAATTATTATATCTTTGTTCTAGAGTAACTTTAATGATCTCTTTTGTTTTTTTGATTTCAAGTCTTTGGCTAATAAACTTTAGACTATTTATTACATCTTTAATATTTTTTTAATAATATCTAAGATATATTAAAAATTCTATATTATATATAATAGTTTTTAATTAGATGGTTTGGATTGTGAATAGTATTATATTTCTTTATTACTTTGCAAAGGTTTAATAACTTTTTTGATTTTCTTGAGACTTCTGTTTTTTTAAAAAATTCCTTTAATTATAAAGTTTTTTCATATTTAACAAATTCAGAATTATATATATTGTCTTTTTTTTATATGATATAATCTTTTTTAATTTGAGTTTAACAAAAACTATCTTATACTGTATATTAGATTCTTAAAGACTTTCTAGATATTATTTGTATATTTTTTTTTCATTTTCTTTCAATTCTTTCAAAAAAAGAAAATCTAGTTTTATTTTGATTTTTGATCCAAGCTTTTATAATAAGCTTACTATTGTTCTAATAAAGATTCTTTTATATTAATTTTTATTTTACTTTGTTTTTTCAATTTGATAATTAAACTTTTTATAAAGAGATTTTTATCCTACAAGATAATTATTAATATAGTATAATTACTTATTATGATTTTTTATACTTTTTAGTTATCAAATCAGTATATTGGATATCTTGTTAAGCCTTATAATATTTAGATATAGTCAATTCTACTACTACTTATTATATCCTATTATATTGAAATTTTATTCTTGCCTTTCCATATTGCTTGAATATTTAAAAAGTCTCAATTATTTAAAAAGTTGAACAATAGAATTTTAAAATATCAAGAAGATCTGAATTTAACCTTGGAAAATGATATCCTATTCTCAAATAAATTGTAAGTAATATTGAAATTATTTATTATTATAATATGGAAGTTTTATTCATACTTCTTTTTAATAAAACTGTTTAATCTCTTTTATACTTTTTTATATTGTTGTTTATTTGATAGAATATAAATCTATATAGTACAAATTTTCTTCTTTTTTATAAGAAAGTTAATTACTATTATATAACTTTTTTTCTCTTCTATTGATACTATTTTTTTTTCTAAATCTTTTTTAATTAAAAGATTGAATTTTACTTCAAATAATAAATTTTTATTAATATTATAAAAGTATTTATAGGTTTTTTTATTAATAAAAGCCTATTTTACATTAGTTTGAATTAGCTTGGTTTTATATATTTTTATTATACTTATTTCTTATTCTTTTATCTTTTTAATAAGACTTTATTAATTTATTTTGTTTATAACACTTCTAATGTTATATGTACCTATTCTTATTACTTTTTTTGGATTTCTTTTTTATTCTTCTTTTATTCTTTTATTTGTTTATCTTTTTTTATTTTATTTTTATTTTATTTTTTTTTTCTATATAAAGGTTTTTCAAATTATTTAATTTTATTATTTTATAGATTCTTTATATTTTTTACTATTTTATAACTTTTGTTTATATTATATTTTATGATTTTTTTTTTATATTTTTAATACTTATTTCATATTTTTAATTCAACTTTTTTTATATCTGAATTTTACTACTTTTATAATAAATAATTTTTAATTAAATTTATATATAACTTTATTTTATAATAAAAGTTAATCATTTATTAAACTATTCTACTTTTTTTATTATTTTTTATAATTAACTATATTTTTTTTTACTTTTATTTCTTTTTTCCTCCTTTTTAATAATTTATAAAAATCATTAAAAACTACTTTTCTTTTTTTTTTCTATAATTTTTATAGTAAAAACTTGTATATCAAATATAATATAAAACACTTGCTTTTAAAAAATTTTAATTAATTATAATTAGATTAAAAATTTGATTAATATAAAAAAATTTTTTTTAAAACTTTAAGTGCAACTTTAGAAATAACTTATCACTCTATTAGTAATTTAGATAAAAACTCTTTCAACTATTAACTTTATAATTTACAAATTAAAATTATAGTTATTAAAGTTATATATTCTTTATTTTATTTTAGTTTATTTTTAACCCTTAGCCAGACCAAGTATGTATACTTTATTAAATATTTGTATACTTTACATTTAGAATGTTTCACTAAAGCTAAATCTTTATCTAATTCACTCATATTTATTTTATGAATTTTTAAAAATTCTAAGTATAACTTTGAGAATAATTTATTGCTCCATTGGTAGCTCAGATAAAAACCCTTCCAACTGTTAACTTTATAATCTGCAGATTACTATTACAGAAAGTTATACACTATTTATTAACTTTTTATAATTAATATATTTTTATCGGTATTTAATTTATAAGATAATATAAATTATATATTGACCTATATATTAATAGCACAGTAGTTAAATTTGATCATAAAATATAGATTTAAATTCTTTAAGTGATAATTAAAGATGAGTTTCTAAAGAAGGAGATAAGAACAAAAGTCAAATATTACTCAATAGAAAACATTAAAATTTTTATTATAAAAAATTATCTATAATTGTTCTTTATTATTTAAATCATTGATTTATAGAATTTTCTAACTTTTGTCCCTATTAAAGTAAAGAACTATGAATTTTTTCTCTCAAAAAGAAACATAAGTAATCTGCAAAATTCTATATACAAAATACTTTAGGGACCTATCATTAATGACAATACCCAAAGTTAATAAAAATCTGTATTCAATAAATTAAATATATTTAATCAACATTTTCAAATATAATTCTTATTATAAAATATTTAGAAAAAAATTATCTATTAATAAATAGTATTATCTATATAAAGATTATGATTGACCATGATATTCAAAATTGACTAAAATTGTTATGATATTATCCAGTTACATTAGAAATAAATACAGTAAAATAACAATTATAAAAGTAGATCCCTAAACTGGTAGAATATTGTTAATAATTAAGTATTGATTTTTATACTATTTATTGACTTAATTATTGAGAGATTTTAATAAAAAGAAAAATTTATAAATTACTTTGAAGAATCAAAATACTGGATCTAAGATACTATATTTAATAGCCTAATTATCTATCTACTTTAGTATAAAATAAAAATGTATAGAAAATCATTAAGATAGAATTGTGTAGTTTTCTATTAAAGTAATACTTATATATATATAGTATGATCAATATAGTTAACTATTATATATATACATATAATAGTTTATTATAATAGTTAATATTTTAGTATTTATCACTTCTACTGTTAACCTTAATTATTAATTATATTTTCTTTTAATTATTATCTATAGTTCTTGTCTATTATATTACTCTAGTTCTATTTTTAGATCATGTAACACATGTGATGCAAGATGTGTCTTATTGGTTTATAAGGTAGATCCAATTATTAGGGCAAAGTAGTGATTGATATAGCGCGTATTATTTAATTTTCATATTTTATATATATTTAGTTAGCAGGTTATCCAAGTAAGCAAATCTGGCATATTGACCTGATTTGGTAAATCTGGTAGATTTGATCACTTTGATCATTTTGGTCATCAAATAATTAATATTCAATTATGTATATAAAGACCAGCTATCCAAAGCAGTTGATCCAAAATTTTAC